CGATAGCCTGGCCGATTCCAGTATTCCAGTATATATTTAACGAAACAGTTTTACAATAACAAGAATTTCCCCTTGTATTTTTGTTTGTTCTCTTCCGAATTGCTGTGGACAGTGGTGATGATTAATTAAACGAAAGCTTGTACGACAATTAAGGCTTGCGTCCATCAAAGTTGTATCTTTTGAATATCATAGCACTTTCCATCTTCATCCATAATCTAACCAACGTTTCAGCTTCACGTCAATTAAGCGAATTTCAAATTTGTGATTTCGGCGTTGCGCAACCTTCAATTCAGCAATTACGGCCGATAGATGTGAGCCTGAAAAATATTAGCTAATGTACGAACTGAAGTCATTCAAGTGGCGCCTCTCTATCTCCGAAAGATGGAATTACAAGTTTGAAGTTATCCCCACTGAATCATAAATGGGTGTGGGTCCAGCTGTATAAAAAATAGTGTGACCATTTGATATCCTAAAGAATTTGTTACTGTCAAAAAACGATCATCTTCGGAAAGAAACTGTAGTTTGAGAAATAGGTATCTGGATTTGGAGAACAGGTGATCGAGCTTTAGTTATGCAGTAGTTGATGATAACTCATAAATATCAGCAATACTTGTGAATTCAGTAGGTATAGAAGATGAAATTCAGAGAATGAGTTGTTCAGTTGAATTGCGTTAAAAGGATGGAATTGAAGTGGTAAGAAGAGAAGTAAATAGTGAATTAATTGTGTTTATGTGAAATGATGAAATCGCGGTGATTAAAGACTTGGGGAATGCCGATTCGTTGAAACAATGAAACAACGAAGATGACGATGATTTTGTAGTGAATTTAGCGATGGTTACAGAGAATATGGACATTTCAAAAACCGGTGAATCGAAAAAAAAAACGATTGAATGAAATATTTTTTTGGAGAGTGAAATGACTGAAGTTGTTTGAAATTGATATTGATAACGGTAAATGACGATTTGTTTGTGCACTTCTTATAATGCTTTTGAACTGCAATATATTACTATTCCGAGGCATGAATTGTTATCAATCAAAGCTCCTGCAGCAGCCCACGCCCACCCTCAACCGTCTTCTTTGTTCAGCCTCATTCCTGCTCCTAAGCGAGTTATGGCAAACTTGCATGTGAGCACACTTTCAGTTATTCCCATAAGAAATATATTTATTACAAAACGTTGAAGTGCGCAATAATTCCTTATAAAGGAATGTTCGTTTGAGTTTATGCAACTTTCTCGCTCATTATTATCAGCTAAAATTCATGCAGCAATTCGTATGAATACAGTATTGTGATTAATAGCCGTAGAGGACATAAATTTGCAGATATGATATATTGAAGAAAGGACCTAATAAGAGAGCGATCAACATCTTCCGAACTGTTTTTACAAGGCCTGAGAAATTAAGCAAACAGGGCACATCTCTCGTCATTCATCCTCCATCATGTCACAAACAATTAACTGATCTATCCGGAGGAACAACACCTTCTCATTTGATCTTATTGAAATGCTCATCGTTTCCATGCTTGTCACCTCATATTTCCTCTGTTACGATTTTCAACATCTGCTGTCAGCTTGATTCTATATCCGCTCATCCATTTGTGCAATACTCTCTCTTCTCTTCCCCCCCCCCCCCCCCCCGTAAAAACATGAAGGCTTCTGCAATAGGGAAATTTTTTACTTCAAATTTGTTGAACTGTTACTGCACTTTCGCTAGTTAGAATGCTGCTGGACTTTAGGTTTGTGCTTATGCCAGACGCTCAGCATCATGCTTGCTGTCCTGGCTAATGTTTGTGTTTGCTGTTGTCTAGTGATTGAGTCCCTTCATTGGTTATAATTTTAAGGGCAATTAAAATCGATGAAAACAACTCTCATATTATACAATACTATGAGCAAATTTGTCTCGGAATTAAGACTTTTCGAAGGCTCTGATGAGAAGGGTTCAACCATCGCTCTGAACGAAAACGAATGAGAAACTGTAGTGATCGGAATGTGCGAACAAATCGGTTTATGAAGAGGACCATCATTTTTATAGCAATTGCTCAAAAATGAAAAATATTTTGGATGAATGATTGCGGTGCTGATCATTACAGTGATTTTGATGATGACGATCAGTGGCATAATCAGAGGGAAGGGTTCACTTTCATGAAAGTGCAACTACCAATAACATGCTTGCTTTACCACAGATTGAAATAGATCTGAGCGTGGTCCAATGAGTAATTAAGTTGGTACCTAAGCAGGTTTCGGTGAAACTGAGCACAACAATGGTTAAGAATCAGGCAAAGAATGAACTTGAAGTTGTAGAAGGCTCGCTGTTCAGAAACGGTCATAGTACCAAGGACGCTTTTGAGGAATGCGCCGACGAATGTCTTGATAAATGTCCCACTGATGTCACCATTGAATTCCACCATCCCGAGTTCCGATAGCAATTAGCAGCAAGTGAAGCTTCAATTTTTGCTATTTTTTGCTCAGGCTTTGGTATTTGCTTTTTGGTTGAAACTAATTGTGTTTACTTGCCCCTTCAAGTAATTCATTCAACTGTCGCTGATCGCTGCTGAGAACGACTGCAGCGTTAGCTGATGACAATATTAACAGAACACAGTCGAGTGAGAATGACGAACAAGAGAAACTAATGCAGCGGATGATAACACAGACGAATGGTTGGTTGCTTAGTGAGATTTGTTGCAATGTGATAGCAACTGAAAATGTTTCTCTTGAAGAAAATCAGTTTTGATTTGGTTTGATTACTGGAGTTGTGACTGTGCGGTTGTGAGGGATTCGTCGTCATACAGCAGTACTTATATAGACGAACGTTGCCATCACCTAAAGTTTGTAAATACACACAAACAAGCATGCAAAACAATGACATTCCCAAAAAAACAACAAAAATTCATCATTATTATCATCGTTAATGTCACATCGCCAATGCCACCGCAATCATATTGTTAATGTGTATGTTTGTATGCTTGATATGAAATACTTTTTCATCGAATTATTGATGGATGTGCACTTAATTAAACTAACTAAGCAGTGATTGACATCAAGAGAATAGAAATGCTTTACAGCTGTCTTTTGAAAGGTGCTATGCATAGGCGAATGTGAAGGGAGTATAGATTATATGGTCGGTTTGGGCGACAACACAGTACCTCTCGATATGGTGACGGTGCTGAAGGATTAATAGACAGACAGTTGCGGGGAGGAAATGATCGACAAATAGTATACATCAGGCACCGTCAGAATCGCGATGATGAGTGGATAGCGCATAAAGGCATATGTATGATTGGATAGTGCATGATGCAGGCAGAATTGTAGTGGAGATTGATATTTGGGAATGATGGTTTGGAAATGATGATGATAATGAATACTTCAAATAAACAACTCAATCTCTGAATTTCATCTTCTATACCTACTGAATTCACAAGTATTGCTGATATTTATGAGTTATCATCAACTACTGCATAACTAAAGCTCGATCACCCGTTCTCCAAATCCAGATACCTATTTCTCAAACTACAGTTTCTTTTCGAAGATGATCGTTTTTTGACAGTAACAAATTCTTTAGGATATCAAATGGTCACACTATTTTTTATACAGCTGGACCCACACCCATTTATGATTCAGTGGGGATAACTTCAAACTTGTAGGGAATAATTCCATCTTTCGGAGATAGAGAGGCGCCACTTGAA